CAGCAGGCCAAGCAGCATCAGAGGAGCAGGAAAGCTGACGTTTCGGGCCTAGACCCTTCTTCAGAAACTTCAGAAAATTTTTTGAAGAAGGGTCTGGGCCCGAAGGGTCTAGCCTTCCTGCTCCTCTGATGCTGCTTGGCCTGCTGTGTTCATCCAGCTCTATACCTTGCTATCTCAGCACATTCTTTGTAGTTGGACTGAACACATATTGCTGTAGGAAATATTCCTGAACACAATTTCAACCCTTAATGCTATCCAACTTCTTAAAGTATCCAATTATAACACACTATAATGCTGGCATCTTGCTATACCTTCCCTGCAGATTTCATTTCTCTACATCCTTTTCACTAATTGGTGGTCTATAGATTACACAAAGCAATGTAATTGTTGGTTTTTTTGCTCCTTAGTTTTAGCCAGATTGATTCTGTCCTTGAACCCTCCAGCGTGTCCTCTTTCTCCAGCACAGCAATGCTCTCCTTAACAAAACTGCCAACAATCCACCTTTCCTTCCTTTCTTTATTTTTCTAAACACATTGCATCAAGGAATGTTTAACATTCAGTCCTGCCCTTCGGTCAGCTTGTTTCTGTTATTGCTACATCATATCTCCACTTGGCAATCTGTGCCATTAACTCTTTGATCTTATTTGTTATATTTGGTGCATTTGCATACAGTAACGCTGACTTAGACTTCATTTCTTTCTCCCTTACTTTGACTTCCAATAATGAGTTCCTATTCTCGATGTTGATGCTATCCATCACTTCAAGGATTTTGAACACCCTGGTTGTTCCTCTCTATGATTTTCTTTTGGTTTCCACAACCCTGATAAGTTGGTTTAAAGGCCTCTTAAAAGCACTAGCAAAATGCTGCACAAGAAACTCACTCCCAATTTTTCTTGGAATGGGCTTTGGATAGAGTCAAAGTCCAATGTTTGTTTGTTTACTTGATATGATACTGTACAGAACCAAACTGCATTTGTTGATAATGTATATATACACACAAAGATTTTTTTATGAATGATGATTATCTTTGAAATTAAAAATAGTCACCCGAAACTTGTTGGTCTTCAAGAGCAAAGACTTGACTTCTTTGGTTGCAGACTGGCACATTCCAAAGTGCAGAATTACAAGCTGAGGGACGCACTAAAACTTGGAGCAGCTGCTGCCAAGGTGCACTTGGGAAAGACCATTGCTTAAGGTCTTTTGGTCAAAGTACAATGGGGGTCTGTTCAGTTATTGGAGCCCCCCTGGTGCCTCAAATATATGTAAATTGTTTGCATAAATAAGAAATGCTTTGGGTTTTGTTTGTTCTCCATATGCATGGACTGTGCAAGATTGAACTGCTCTCGTGACTATGTACGTATATTAAGATTTTTTTTAATGAATAAAGTATATTTTTGAAATAATAAAATGTTTAGCAATGAATAGACACTGGATAAGTTTGGTCTCTTTGGAGCAGAGAAGGCCAACAGGGGACCTGATTGAGGTTACAGATTGTGAGGAGCATGGACAGTGTGGATAGGAAACAACTGTTCCTGTTATTGAATGTTCAATAACGATGGAGCATAATGTTAAACTGAAAGGCAAGAGGAAGAGGAGACTCAAGGAAAAATGTTTTCACCTAGAGGGTGGTGGGAACCTGGAAAGCACTGCTTGGAAGGGTAGTTGAGGCAGAAAACTGCACTGCCTGTCAAAAGTATTTGGATGAGCACTTAAAATGTCATAACATTCAAGACTATGGGCCAAGTGCTGGAAAGTGGGACTAGTATGGATTTAGAGTAGTTTTTTTATTAGTGTGGACTCAACAGCCTGAAGGGCCTGTTCTGTACTGTATGCTTCTATGGCTCTTTGACCTTATTGAAACATACAAGATTCTGAGAAAACTTGACTGGTAAATGCTGAAAGATGGTTTCCATTTTTGTCTAGGACCAGAGGGAATAATCTCAGAATAAGGGATCACACATTTAACACATAGCTGATGAAGAATTCTTTTCTCACAGAGGGTTGTGAATCTGTGGAAGTCTTCACCTTAGAGGGCTGTTGAGGATGTGTCATTAAGTATTTTCAAGGTTGAAATAAATAAATTTTCAATCTGTATGGGAATCAAGTATTACGGGGAAAAAGCAGGAAAGTCAATATGAGGTATATCAGGTCAGCCATGATCTCACTGCAGAACAGAGCAGATTCAATGGCATGAATGACCTCCTTCTGCTCCCATGTCTTTTAGTTTTCTGGATAGGTGTTGCCAAGGGCAATGAAAGTGAAGGCCCTAACAGAATTTCCTGTAACTAAATGAGAAATCATGAGGCTTTTAGGAATTTGTGGATTTTAATGGGAAATATGTCTGTACTTTCAGTATGGTAGGTGCACCATTAACAAATTTGTTAAACAAACAAGCTAAAGTGGTATGGTCAGCAGAATGCTACATAGCCTTTTGAGGAACTGAAGGCAATCTTACTAAATGAACCAGTGTTAGAAGGCTCTGATTTTTCCAGACTTTTCGAAATGGCAATCGATGCTAGTGATTTGGGGGTGGGTGCTGTCTTGTTAGAAGATGATGAATCAGGAATAGAGAAACCAGTAGGGTATTTCTCCAAGAAACTAAACCAGTAGCAGAAAAGGTACTCTTAAACTGGCATCGACACTTTGGGATTGTTGCTAGCTCTTCAGAATGTTGAAGTCTATATCCGACATGGAAACAAGGAAATGCTAATTTAGACTGATCATAATCCACTAGCTTTCATTGAAAAGCTTAAAAATAGGAAGTTGAGACTATTCAGATGGAACCCTTTGTTGTAACCATTTAATATAAAAATTGTTCACACCGATGGAAAAGATATTGTGGATAAATTATCCTGAATATTAAATCTCAGAATAGGCTAAAATTTAAGAAATTATAAGACTATGATAGTGTGAATGAGGGTCAGTGGGGGGAGAAAGAAGAGTGAATGAATGTAGATCTTTGATTTTGTTGTTGTATATTACATATTTTCAATGAAACGGTTCTGAAATGGTGTTTCTTTTTCCTTAAGGCATGTAACTATTGTTTCCAGAGAGAAACAGAGAGAGAACTGAACACCAAGGGCAAAGCTAGCTGAAGTAGGATCAACTCAATACTGAAATTGGCAAGCAAAGACAGCCAAAACGATTTTCCAGTTTATCTCTACCTCCACCAATTTTCCTTATTCGTTCGTCTCTTTATGTGTGCACATGTGTATGCATATATAAAAGGGAGAATTTATAACAGGATCAGAGTTTTAGTTAATGGTGTTATATGCCAATGCTTTACAGTCAGAGAAATATAATCTATAACCTTGTTAAAAATACACAAACAAAAGCTCCAGAAGTAAAGTTATTTCATTTTCACGGTTATATTTTTACATTGTTAGCATTATTAATAGTATATTAATTTGGGATTGATTTAACAAATATTATTGTATCACTAAAAGTAACATGCTGGTGAAGCTTTTTGGCTTGTACTCATCAGGACAGATGCAAGAATGCCAAATTTCAAAATGTATAAAAATTTATACAGCATGACTGTTTTAGACATTATCTTGGAGAATAAACGAGCAAACATTTGTTTTTATTAATTTAAAAGAATTACAATTCCTCAATGTGTTCCTTCTTCCTGCAGAAAACAAGTCTCTGCTCATGAAAATATATGTAGCTACAAACTAAGGGAATCACTCTGAAAGCTGACTGGTTGGGTAGTTAGTGCAAGTGTTAGCATATGCAGGATTGTTCAGCAAATGGTCACAATCACAGAATCACATCCACATTAGACACTATTTTGGTTTTGCAAGCATGGACTCATTGGTTACAATTAGTACTAATCCTACTGCAAACAGTTTAAGGGATGTGTGGTTTGGTATCATCTGTCAGTTGTTGGGACAGACAACCCACGAAACCAGCATCGCACTGACACTGAAATTCAAATTACATATTTGTATAGTAGACAGGTGTTTTTTGTTCTTAGAATATATCCCTGAAGTTGAATTAAAGTTCACTTACTGTTCAATTTCTCTGCTAATAGATTTGGGCAGTACAGATTTCATGAGGCCCTGCCATTCTTCAGTCGTGCAAATACTATGATAAGCCAGCTTCTCCATTGTGACCCGATAAATGCACTCAGACTGTTGTATTCTGTGGTACATCTGTTAAATAGATGAAGAAGAAATAATCATAAACAGATATTCCATAATGGACCATTGCATCAACCAAGTCACTCAATGTAAAAAGGTGGGCTCTTGCAGTGAACTGATAGTGTCCCTACCTCTGAGCCAGGAGGCCTGGGTTAAGGTCCTATCCGCTTCTGGGTTATGTAAGAATATCTTTCTAAATGATTTGATTAGAAAATATCTACAAGATCCCTCAAGCACCTTGTGTCTTATTTTGCTAATCAATGTACCAACAAATCTAGTTAATATAATTATGAGGTTGCAGACATGCTCGCCGATCTGGTGGGTTTGGTTGCAAACATTTCGTCACCCCGCAAGGTAACATTGTCAGTGCACCTCCGGTGAAGCGCCAGTGTTCTGTCCTGCTTGTTATTGATATGCCTTAGTTTGTAGGGGTGTTTGGTGCCACTTCTGGTTGTACCACTTTGGGTTCCAAACCGGAAGTGGCACCAAACATTCCAACAAACTAAGGCAAATAAATAACAAGCAGGACAGAACACCGGCGCCTCGCCAGAGGTGCACTGATGATGTTACCTCGCAGAACGATGAAATGTTTGCAACCAAACCCACCGGCTTGGCGAGCAAGTCTACAACCTCATCCACAAACTGAGCTCGAAATCTTCTGGAAAACTTTTATATAATTATGAATACCATGGGCTGCTCTCTATAGATTAGTGAGATTTGTCTATACCTAAACCTGGCATGGTGCTACAGAGAGTGACTTAATGCTATAACTCACTAAATCTACTGACTTATACGAGACAGCATGATAGTAAATTCAGATCAGGAAAGAAATCTAACTGAACCCTTTACACTTAGGAACTAACCAGTAAATGTTTCATTGTATGGATGAGAAAATACCATATTTATATGGACTAAGTTAACTGACATTACGAGAGCTTCAAAGTTGGTGATCTTTTGCAATTCCTGCCAAAATTTTCAATAGTGGGTAAAATATGAAATGGTAAAATGGATAGAGAGGTTCACTTCAACAGAGAAACATGACAATGAAGGATGCTAGCTATGAGGATAGCTTAGAGGAGCTAAACATGTACGATGAGAACACCACTCGAGAGAGAGAGAGAATTAAACACCAGCCAACAGAGACAGTTATGCTGTGACCGAGATGGACAGTTACACGCTAACCTACAGAATGAATGACAGCAATAGGGTGCTACACACCCAACTGGGCAGGCCAGAGAGCTGCACACTGATGGAGACAGGAAGAAGGCAAGACACCAACCTGGGGGTTGAGAGAGAGTGGGAGTGAGTGAGAAAGAGAATGATGTGCACCCACTAAGAAGGAAGGGAGTAATATGCAACAACTGAGAGGGAGACAGCGTGGTACGCACTCACTGAAAGCCAGACAGCGATACATAACTACCAAGAGGTAAAGAGTGACACATACCACCTGACAGGGAGAAAGAGAGAGTGGTGCACACCTACTGACAGGGAGATATATGTTACTGAGAGAGAGTAATACACCGACTGAGAGCATGTTACAAATCAACTGAGAGCGAGAGGACACCGTGCCGTGACCCGGGGAATAGTGTGCTGCACACTCAGTAAAGTTACAGAAGATGTCATTAATAGTGATATTAGTTAGCACTTGCTCAGCAATAAACTGTTCACTGATTCTAAGTTTGCATTCTGCAAAGGCCACTCTGCTCCTGGCCTCACTATTGCCTTGGTTCGAACCCAGACAAAGAAGTGAATTCCAGAGGTGAAGCGAGAGTAGCTGCCCACTGGTTGCAGTCATACCTAGCACAAAAGAAATTGGTTCTGTGTTAAAGGTCAGTCATCTCAGCTCCAGGATATTTCAATAGCATTTTTCAGGGCAGTGTTCTAGACCTTCCCTCCATCATCAAGTCAGAAATGGGAATGTTTGCTGATGACTGCACAATGTTCAGTACAATTCACAACTCCTCAAATTCTGAAATAGTCCATGTTCAAATGCAGGAAGACCTGGACAATACCCAAGCTTGGAGTAACATTTGAACCATATAAGAGCCAAGCAAAGACCATCTCCAATAAGATACAATCTTAACATGTTGACATTTAATGGCTTTACTAACACTGAATCCCCCGCTATCAGCATCCTTGGGGTTATCATTGACCAGAAACTCAACTGGACTTGCCATATAGATACATTAACTACAACAGCAGGTCAGAAGCTAGGAATACTGCACTAAGTAACTCGCTTCTTGACTGCCCAAAGCCTGTCCACCATCTACAAAGCACACAAGAAGAATGTGATGGAATACTCCCCATTTGCCTGAACGAGCGCAGCTCCAACAACACTCAAAGCTTGACAGAAGCCAGGACAAAGTAGTCCACTTGACAGGCACCACATCCACAAGCATTCGGCCATTTCACCATTGACCCTCAGTAGCAGCAATGTGTACCATCTATAAGATACACCGCAGACGTTCACCAAAGATCCTCAGACAATGCCTTCCAACCTACAGCACTGCTGCCATCTACAAGAGCAGCAGATACATACACTACCTCTATGTTTCCCCTCTAAGTCACTCATCATCTTATATGAAACAGCTCTCCTAATTTTGGCACTAGCCCCCAGAACTAGGGAGGACTTTGCAGAGTTGACATGCTGATCTTGTTGTTGTTTCCAGTGCCATGGTCAATGCCAGATGATCCTCTGGTTATATTTCTATTTTACTGTTACAGCTGCGATTATTACACCTAAGTGGTTTGCTAGATCATTTCAGTTAGCAGTTGAGAGTCAACCACATTGCTGAGGACTTGCAGTCACATGTAAGGCAGACCAAGTAAGAATGGCAGTTTCCTGCTGTGAACGAGTCAGGTCCTTCCAGATTAATGGTCCAATGACATAATACTGCCATGCCACTGCCTCCCCTAGTGCACTGGCATTATCGCTCCACTTTTGCAAAGAGAGCCATTATCACTAGGCTAGTAATCTAGAGACCCAGGTTAATACCCTGGGGATTTGGGTTTAAATCCCATTATATCAGATGGGGTGAAATTTTAATTCAAACCCGAATTTAAGGAAGAGCTGGTCTAACGCTAATCATGAGATTATTGTCAATTGTCGTGAAACCCATCTGGCTGACTAACGTTCTTTAGGGAAGGAAAATCCACCAGCCTCATTCTGGTCTGGACTACTTGCGACTTCAGAACTGTTCTGAAGGGTCAGTGGACCCTAAATGTTAATGCTGCTTTCTCTACACAGATGCTGCCAGACCTGCTGAGTTTTTCCAGCAATTTCTGTTTTCTTTCTGATTTCCAGCACCAGCAGTTCTTCTGTATTTTTTTCCTAGGCAAGTCCAGTGTGCGCACATTTTGGTACTTCTGCAACAAGTTTAAACTTCCATGAGTTGATGTTATGACAGATTGCTCTGTCATTACTATGACTGTGGAAGACTTGGGCTATTCTGTATTTACCCTGGTTTTTCTGAGGATTTATTTTGAACTTCTCAGTTATAAAGTCAGTGTAAATAAACTCTTATGTAAATCAACTGGAATGTCAAAGCACTCCAGCAGCCCCAGTGTTCAGTTGCTGCTATGCCAATGTACCCGAAAACGTTCGGCACCCCTTCCCTAAGTAATGTTGAGCTCCCAGTTAGTGCTCATCCTCCTCCAATGATCATCCCCTGTTTTGACAATGATTACCACCCCACTTACCCCAAAGCCCAATGATATTCATATCCAGCGCTGGAAAGGTTAGCATTGTCGGGAAGTGCAGGGTGGGTCATTTGTTGGGGGAAGGAGTTTGCTGAGCATTGTTGGAGGTTGGGAGTTTCACAGCTCCATTTACAAACAGTCTGAATCAATGAAGTGAAGACAGACCTTAAGCAGCATAGGTATGCTGGAATTACACTTGATAATTTGTCACATGCCTCAATTCACCCCTGCATTCCTCCTGCAGCTGGCATTGGAACATGCAAAGGGCTCTGACAGAAAATGATAAGTGGATAGTTTAAAGTGCAGTCAGCATAAGACTCTCCCTCTTTATGCTGACTGGAGGGTCTGGGCCAATAATTGTAAGTACTAAGAAGGACAAAAACATTCAACATGTAAGGTAACATCTGTGGAGAATGGAAGATGGATAGGATAAGTTTCAGGCTGCAAATTCATTCATCAGAACTTAACAGAATATCAGAAAACCTTGAAACTCAATCTATCTTTAGTCTTTCTACAGATGACCTGCACATTATTTCTTGTATTTTCAGTTTTATTTCAGTTTTCCAAAATTTTGTCTCGTTTCATCAAACAATTTGGACTGTTGTACAAGTCGACATAATTTACATAATTTTCTATCCATTAAACTCAGGGACTGAAAGATATGAGATGTTTACATTGAAATTCTCAACCGTGAGGCTTTATGCCTGGCCCATTTACTTATAAATTAATATCTACAAGATCCAAAATAAATTGGTGGCCATGACTCAGAGTCGCTAAATTCTTTATTAATAAACTTGAACAGTTTAGTCATACAAATGAGGGGTTTATAAGGTATATGTTTCAATTAGAAAATTTAAAAGATAGATACTGGGTAAGAATCATAGCTTTCAGACATTATAGGAGATATTATTTAAATCACTTACATTTGCACAGTGTAAGGCCAAAGCACAGAAAACAGCAAACATTTTAAAGTTGTTCTCGTCTGCTTCAGTAAAGGCATTTCCATTCATTTTGTTCACCATTTGCACAACACCAATGACAACTCCTCGGCTGACGATAGGCATGCACAAGATGTTTCGTGTGGTGTACCCAGTGTACAGGTCTACTTCTCTATTGAAGAAAATAAAACATATAACTATTAGTTTAAATGTGATTGAGACTAAATCTGTGTTAATGAGGATCAATTGACATAAGGATCTGCATATTAGCGCACTCAACTTTGTGCTACCATTTCCAAGTTGACTTTTTAATCATGTCAGCAAACAATGGCCTGCATCTTCTAATCTAGATGAGAATCTCTATTTCTGACCCAGAGCAGTCACAGAGTTGCCCATTTACCTTTAGAGGAGTTTTCTGGCCAAACTTCTGAGGCAGACCTTTACCAACTGAAGCAGCTCACAGGTAGGAATGTAGTGGATTTACGTTGAAACTACACCCTCCTTTTGTGGCAATAGCTGCCATATTCCATGGTTTAAAAATCCTAAAGCCACCTTGTCATAGCCAGCCATGAATGATGGTAGACAATTAAACAACTAACAGAAGGAGAAGGCATCAGTAAAGTTTTTACTTCGGTAAGGCTAATGTTACCTTAACCTCAGCTGAGTCCTAAATGTTCTTTATCAGCCAGGACCAGGAATATTATATGAATGTAGACAATAGGAATAAGAGTAGGACAGTCAGCTCCTTAATCCTGCTCTGCCATTCAGCTGGTGGCTGAATTTCTACCAATGCAATGCCATTTTCCTGCACTATACACTTATGTCTTGATGGCTTTAATATCTCTTAATCTACCAGTCTTGATGTTAAGCCTGACTGTGAGATATGCCAATCAGACACAAGAAGTGTTATGAGACAACAAGGTGCAAAGCTGGATGAACACAGCAGGCCAGCAGCATCATAGGAGCAAAAAGGCTGACGTTTCGGGCCTAGACCCTTCATGCTGTGTTCATCCATCTCTGCACCTTGTTGTCTCACAAGAAGTGTTATAATGTCACAAGGCATCATGAAATCACAGTAAGATCTTTCTTAAATAATGTTTTCCTTGTCATAACAGTATTACAATGCTGAGGAAGTTCTCCCTCTCCCCATCATGTTGGCAAGTCCACACCTTAATTAGTAATGTCACACCCTCAAATTGCGAACATTCAGGCCAAATTTTCCTTTATTTCATTGCATAAAACACACACATTTCTACTAATATGCTAAGTTTTGCCATATTCCTTTAAAATATGTTAAAAAACTTAGTTCTTAGAATCAGCACAAAAATATCCTTGGGTGCTTCTTGGGATAAGTTTCCTGTTATTGTTTACTACCCTAAGGTTGCCAAAGAAAATATTTTACAAGTGCCTTTTTGGCCACTGGGTGATGTTTTAGAAAACGAACATGTTGCAAGTTTTTGAATGCTGTAATAAGTTATCTGTGGCATGATTACAGTAGTCTGTTACAACACAAAACATACTTTCAGTGTACAGCTTCCTTCCCTTTCTCAGCAGCCACAGACTGCAGAAGATGATACAAAAGAAGAATCCTTCTGAAGGGGCACCGACCATTCCCGATCACCAGCAGAGAGAAGTTAGTAATACCTGCACAAGGTGTTATTGAGTGGTAGCAAGTGCTAAAGTTGAAGAGACATCTCACTAGAAAGTGAAGTTTCCTATCAGCCGTACTGAGGAGAGATAATAAAGGGTTCAAACAGAAAAATCCTTGTTTCATATGAGCAGCAATGCAAAAATACCAGAAGGCTCACCAAGTAATTTCAAAATCTTGAATCTCTTCCATGATATGAGTTCTCTGCAGTCTACTCAGGAGAATGACACCTCTCAGTACTACAGCTAGGTCCTCTCAATAGCAGTCAATGCTCACAGCCTTTATAGCTTTTGTGGTAAATGGACATGCAGAAATCATGGCATTTGCAGCTTTGCTTCAAAATAGCAATGTATGCTCTGTTTCTGTAGTCTCATAGCTCTAATGGTTTTGCTGTTGTTGCAGCTTGGTGATGTTGCAGAGGGGTGACATCAGCCATGTTTAAAGGGCTATCTTTTCTCATTAGCAAGAAAATGGCACAAGACAGTCAAAGATATAAAGTTCTTCTTGATGGAAATGGAACATCTGGAGAATATGTGGTCTCTCCTTTCAGCTGGAGGCAAAATAAATGCCTTTGAAGAAATGTAAGTCTCTCCATAGATTTTTACTAAGAATTTTAAAATATGGCAGGATAGATCAGTGCAGTACAGTGTATAACACAACACTTTAATAAACTGCATGGCTGCATTGTAGGCTAAGTGGTTGAGCACATGATCTTAAACATTCCCGATCCCACAAATGCGTGTTACCTCCAGGTCATCTGCTGTTGGGAAGAAGTTTTTGTTTGTGGGTGGAATGAAAGAGCTGGTATGGTATAAAACCAGAACAGGAAATGATTAACGTTAAACTAGGTCTGAAAAACAAAATACTGCAGATATTCGAGATCTAAAATAAAAACTGAAAATGTTGGAAACAGTAGGTCTGACAACATCTGTAGAGGGAGAATGAGTTAATGTCTCAAGCTGTGACATTTCCTCAGACCAGTTTCTAATTTAGCACTCCGAAATCTTTCCTTAGGAAATGAAATCTGTGAGATAATGTCCTTGATTCATTTCCTACCTTACAATAATGGCTACAAGTCTGAAAACAAAAGAGCTTCTTTGGATGTGGAGTGCTTTGAAATATCATAGAATTGTGGAATATATACAAATGCACTTCTTTCATTCTTACAGAAAAGATTACCAGTTGTTCAGAAAGGGAATAAGCGCAACAGAGCTTTAGCTATCTGTGCTTTGAATTTTTATAAGCTCCAGTAGCGCATTGCTATCACTGCATTTCAGGCAAAGCCGGAGAGTTTAGACACATGTCCTGCTTCCAAGCCCATCCTCAAAAACACCAAGATGGTATTAAGTTGTTTGAATACAAGTAGTATATTGTTCAGATATGTACATGAAGCAAAACGTGGAGCAGGCTCTATTCCTGAAGTATTACTCCCACTTAACCGGGAATGTATAATTTATTAAAATTTTTTTTTTGTAACATTTTCACTTCAAAGAATAATGGACCATACCAAGAGAAATACTAATCTAAGATTATAAACCTAAATGGAACTTCAGGCAGCATCAAACTGTAACTGAAAAGCTTGGCTGAGTGAGGTCTTCTAAAATCAGCTCCCAATTATCTGCTATCTTCTAAGGCTCATCTGCCAGTAACTGACACACGATTTCTTTTAACAATTCCAGCTACTGAAGGAATAAAACAAAAATAGCACCATACTCCTCATTAAGTGCTTAACCAGTTTAGGGGAAAACACAAGAATGAAGGAAACTCCAACCCAGAACTCCTTTATGAATTCATTGTGAACACCACAGCAAAGGGATCTACAAAAAGTAAAATCATTCAAATGTTAGAAATCTGAAATAAAAAAAGCTGGAAATACTCAGTAGGTTCGGAGCATCTGTAGAGACAGAAAGAGAAATAATGTTTTAGGTCAATGACCTTTCATCAATTTAGTGTGGACGGTAGACAGAAAACAAACAACAGGGTCTATGACAGGCTGAAAGACTACTGACATTAAATTACACAAGAGTTTGTGGGAATTAGGAATGGTAATAGGACAATTAAGGTATAATAGATGCGCAGAGGAGAATGGCAGAATAATGAACAATTGCATTCCAAAGACAGCGTGTAAAGGAAAAACAAGATTATGAATTAAACATGCAAAGAAATGATCTGTGCATTCCCAACAACCTATTTGCATAAACACAATTTCATGTACATGAGCAAATGACCTGCATGAAATCAAGCAAACCCCGTTTCTATAACTTGCCAACTCAGAATCTTGTCTCATATTATGTTCTTTCTCTCAGCACTTGAACTCCTTCTAACAGTGTAATGGTAGTCATGGCAACTGGCTGTCCTGAGAATCAATAGAAAATGAACTCGCATGCTAAAGGCAGTGGGAATTCTGTCACTAATGATATGGCTTGAGGGTGATACCTTAGTCAGTCAGTCAAATGAGTCAGTGTGAAACAAAACCAGAAATTGCTGGAGAAACTCAGTGTGGAACCTAACAAACAGTTCACCTATAAAATACTACTGTCGATAGGGTAGTTAAACAGTTATCAGAATTTCGGTTTCCTGAGGCTCCTATTATAAGTCTCAGAAACCTCCGTCATATAAGTTTGAAGACGACGATCCGAAACTGTGCATGCGGGTGTTGTGATTCACCTAGTGGTGGCATTGGCATTAAATATAGCTGCAAAGAAATGGAAATAAAATGGAGGGCAGAGATTAATGTGCAAAGTTGTTGAACTCAATGCTGAGTCCAGAGTTAGCAGCCGTTGCTTAGGGAACAAGATCAGGAATCACAGTGCTGGGACCTGCCGTTCAAGTATCACCACCCAAATGGCATCTTCTCCTGGGTCCATAGCCATTGAATGGCCAGTGGCCTCAGACTGGTGGTGGACTCTGGGCAGCAGACCCATCCCATCATGACCAGTTTCTATAGCTTCATGAACCCTGTCGGTTCAGCGACATTTAGCATCCTAACCCATGGAGACACTTTCAACTTGGAGTACTTCACCTACAGGCCTGATCCCTCAGGAGGTCCTACACTGGCTCCGGAAGACCGAAGGGTTAGTGATTAAGAAACACAAATTTCTCGAGAACAGAATCCAGAGAGACAGTTGGAGACCACTTCAAGAAATTGCACCAAGTATGTATATGCGTGTGTTTCCACATCAAACAGCCTCTGTCAGTCTGTGAATGTGTCTGCAGCAAGTAGTCCATGTACATCTATGTCTGTTTGACTCACTCCCAGTCTCACAGTCTGTGTATACACATATACATATGGACTCAGTCTCATGTTACACTACTGATAAGGAGGAAATCAATTTTGAAAAAGCTTCTTAATTTATATTAGTTTGAAATAGTGTGCAGGTGGCCAGTTTAAATTAAACAGTAAATTTGAAATGAATCAGATAATTGAACTGGAAATATCGTTGCTGAGAGCATTCCACATATTCACACATTTATGGCAAAAGTATTTGGCTTTAGTAGTCGCAGCAAAAGATGAAGAAATAAAT